ATTAAATTTGACAAGTGCCGTTGTCTACAATCGATATCGAACTTCAAATCAGCAGCATGACATTCATTCGACAACAACTGGAGTGTCCGTTTGATGCCATAATTGACGACAGCTTCATTCCACAACTGTTCTACGAGCAAAAGATCTTTTATTGGCACTTGGTTTTTTCGATATTCTTTCAAACAGTACATGCATCGGAACTGGCGAACATTGCCATTGTAAATTTGTATGTATTTCACACATTGACCACAGAAGTGTCGACCACATATTGCGTTGATACACTTATATGGTGTACGCTCGTCTTGTATACCAAATGGGCTGAAACACATGATACAGCAGGTATCTACCTACAGAAAAAAGCTGTTAGCGCTATTCCTATGGAATTGAAATCTGAATCACGATCAAGCCGTTCTATCGAAAGAAATAATTATTTTATTAAAAATAATTGTTTAAATAAATAATGCTATGGTCGAAAAATCGAAAACATCATACACTCTGTAAGAGGGCAAGGGAAGAGAGAAGAGGATTTTTAAGGGTAAATATCTGTAATGGGGAGCTCTCTGTAAGGAGTGTACACTTTCCTCGCTCTAACACTTCAACACTCATTTACATTCGTGTATCACAAAAAACAATGTAAGATTCGACAACTTCATCATAAAAAGAATTATTGATTGTGAATCAATAAACGAGAAGATTCGAACTGCTGAAGTTTGTGCTAATTGTATTATTTTGCGAGACATATCCGTCATTATCAGTACTTTGTATTGTGTATGACATACTTCTTGATTTTCCAACTTGGCATTTTTTGATCCCATTGTTGATATGCGGTTGGTTCAGTCGAGTCTCAACTACTCACAATTATAAACCAAAGTCAGGGCCAAGTGCTTGATTGATAAATTTTTTTGAATACCGTGTGTTAATAATATAGTAATATTTACATAATAGAAATATGTCTGCTTATCTATTCGTGTGCTGCTCTTTTTACATAAAAACAGTCTGCTTTGTCATCATGGAAAAATACAAGATAAAAGAAATCTATATAATGCGTTACATATCTCGGTTGCGCAGAAGACGAAAATAAAGATAAAACTTGCAAACATTGGAAATTTCAACGATGAGTTCTTATCAATTCAATGTTGCGAAAATAAGAATTGAGCCAAGGTAGACAGTGCTACTTCAAATTTTTCGTACGGTGCACTGTCGAGTTTTATTATGAGCATATTTCGTCGATCGAAAAACGTTTTGATTTGCGCTTCTTTTGGTAAAATGTAGCCTTTGTGTTCTAGTATACTTATCGTGTGAATGTGTGGGTGGGTGTCGGTGTGCCAATGTAGCAGATTTTCCGAAATAATGTACATTGCAATGCATTATTTTTCAAGAGGGTGTGGGTGTGAGTGGGTGGGCGTGGGTGTGGGTAGGTGAGTGATGTGGGTGTGCATGTGACTATGGGTGGGCGTGGGTGTGGGTGTGGGTAGGGGTACGTGTGTGGGTGTAGGTACGGGTGTGGGTATGGGTTAAGAGAATAACTTCGCTCCCACCCACACTCGCACACACGCCCACGCCCCACACCCACGCACCCACCCCACCCTCACCCCCACCCCCACCCTCACCCTCACCCCCACCCCCACCCTCACCCCCACCCCCACCCACACAGCCACACCCATACCCCACACCTACCCACACCCCCACACACGCCCACCCACAGCCACACCAAGATAATTCAAGAATGTAACGAAAAATATTCTTTATCTCTTATCACCATTACATACGAAGCCTTCATATATGCTGGTTTATGATGCATTTGTGAAGGCCTTAAAATTGCGTTTGATACTACTCGGTGGTGAGTTTCAGATAGCGATGACTGAGACCGAGCATTTTGGTCTCATTCAGGGCAGCAAAAAGAAATAGGCTGTGGGTGTGCAGAGGTATGTGTGCGTGGCTATATTAAAGCAGCATCTACACCCGGTAAACCTGTTTACTACGACACGGTTGATATTGATTTCTCATGAAACCCTAAAGACGGAAAACCCTTTTTAGTTTTTTACGAAACCTCTGGATAGCTTGAAGTTTATAAAATATGATAGATGAAACCCTTTAGAAGGGAAAAAATGTGTGGGTGTGTGGTTGTGGCTGTGGCTGTGGGTGGTGTGGGTGTGGGTGTGGGTGGTGTGGGTGTGGGTGCGGGTTTGGAGTGTGGGGTGTGGGTGTAGGTGTGTGGGTGGTGTGGGTGGGTGGGTGTGGGGTGCGGGTGTGGGTTTGGAGTGTGGGGTATGGGGTGCGGGTGTGGGCGTGTGTGCGGGTGTGGGTGTAGGTGTGTGTGTGGATGTTGGTGTGGGTGGTGTGGATGTGGGTGTGGGTGGTGTGGGTGCGGGTGGTGTGGATGGGTGGGTGTGGGTGTGGGTGTGGGTGGAATGTGGGGTGTGGTTGTGGGTGTGAGTGTGGGTGTGGGTGTAGGTGTGGGTGTGGGTGTGGGTGTGGGTGTGGGTGTGGGTGTGGGTTTGGGTGTGGGTATGGGTGTGCGTATGGGCTTGGTTGTCATGAATATCAACACTCACACCCACATTCACACCGACACCCACACCCACACCCACACCCACACCCACCCACACCCACATCACGATAATAAATTGATGATGGGGTACAATATGGGCAAATCTATTTGCTTCAGTTCGACGTTCAGATTTTTTGCAGTTGTATTCCTCTCTCCTATGATACACACCTACAAAATTGTTTTCCTTTGTTTTGAGTCAAACTCATGTTATAATATGGAACTGATGACACAGATCACAAAATAAATATTCCCTTAACTTTTCTCTAAACCAGTTCAGTATGTGAGAGTATGTCATAAAGAAGCTACTAATGCAAAAACCGTATGTTGATGTATTACTGTGATGTGTTTTCTTTTTCAAAAATATTTTCGAGAGGAAAGTGCACTTATCCATTCTCGTCTTTTTTATTTTTCTTTGATCAACGATTAAATAAAATCTTTTTTTCTATTCTGGTTCATCATGTTTGTTATAAGCTACAATGACAAAAAATATCTATACATTATTAACTGTCTTTCATAAAGTGGTACAATAACAACTGAAAAAAATTTTTGGTAAAGATCTGCGGGGGATGAGCAATCCAATATTTGGTTCGGATTTAACTATAAATATCTTGCTTTAGTTGCGTTCAAAATAAATTCTAAGCTAAGTTAAAATCTTCAGATATATATTCTATTTGACAATTTGGCATTGTATGATAGATGTATACAAATATGGTGTCATCAAAATTGTGGAGTAGCTATATGCATATCAACAGTAAATGATGCATTGTGTGCTTGCGGATGCTCCGTCGGTTATGATTGGAAACCAATCATAAGATCTACCATTTTAATGAATCCATGCAACGCTTCAAGTTACTCTCGTAAATTTGAACAACTCTACTCAGCCGACTGCGGTGTCCCAACATCTCAATCTTGGGCCTTACGTGTCTCGACTGTAACGTTTATATTTGATCAATATATGATTTTTGCTACACTTGCTCTTTGCATTTCAACAATAAAAGGATTACGTCATTCATATTTTTATTTCAAAAGAAGATTTAATGAGTAAAATTAATAAGAAATATTGAAATATCAAGCAAATAAAATTCATATCTTTTAAATCACGTAGTCAAAAAAAAAGACTACAGGTCAACAGTATCCAAGAACTGACAAATGGAAATTGCTAATCTGTAGAAGAATTATCATCGTCGCTATGATAATCACTCGGAGAAACGAGAATTGATCATTAGTTCTCTCATAGTTTCCCCATTTCATTAAAATCAAAGTAATGTTTTCTCTGCAACAGATTTCATACTCACACATTCATCTTCAAAAATGTTTTGATGAAAATGAGTGTAAGAGCAAAAATGATCGTGAATACAGTGTTTTTATAATTTTACTATTGATGAAACTGTGGAGAAATTCCTATTCCTCAGTTTCTTGGTCATCCTTCTAATCATTGCACAATATAATAATTGAAAGAGAATGTGTAAAGTCAACTGATTTTGATTTCTGTAAGAATGTCTGTTCTTTGTCTCCTATTATGTGTACAAAAATCCTTTTTGTTGTCTTGAAAATGACAATCAATTGAAGTCTCATAGTTACTTTCATTTATGTTTGTTGAATAAAAGACATGAATGAAAGAAAAAAAAAAAGAAAAGAACAATATTCAATACAATTGTACAATATTTTAAACAGTAACATATTCATTGAACTCGGACAAATTATTTTCGAAAATTATATTAATGAGATCTGAATATGAGAAAATTATAATTTTTTTATTTAATATTTATATTTTAAAATAGTTTATTATATAAATAAGAAAAAAAATTCAGATTTGAATTTATTTTATGGATCATCATTTAAAAAAATATTTTCTTTTGATTTTTCTAGATAATCATTAACAATGGGTTCATGTTCAAGCCGACGAAAAGTCGATAAACGTACTCAAATGCCATCGCCAACAATGAGACCAGATACAAGTAAAAATTTTTCAAATTCTAATTATTATTCTTTCTAATAATAAATTTTAGGAGTATTGTCAACTTCGCCAGTATTGCCAACTTCATCAGTATTGCCAACCTCATCAACATTGCAAACCATATCAACATCACAAATGATAGGTATCACAACAGATACCATAGATGTTACTGCTTTAGATCAAATTGTTCAAGATGCTGATTTTTCAGCCATAATTAATGCAGAAATTGAGGTACGAGATAGTTTGTATTAGGCTTATTTTCTTAGACTATCTATTATTTAAACAGAAAAGTGTAGATTTATCTTTTAGAAAGAATATGTCTTCAGTTACATAGCTTATTCAGAGAATTAAGAAATGCAGGTAATACGAAAATGAAAGAAACATTGTATCGCCTTATGTAGAACTACAAATTATTAAGGAAATGAGTGACCATTCATAAAGGTCAGCCACTATTGGAAAAGTTTCGGATTTCTAAAACTTCTATTAGCAGCATTTTACATCATTAATCTCAGCCGAAAGAAGTCAGGTTCGTCTCCTATTGAAAATGTACCTTTCTGAATGGCTGGAGACTGGAACTAGAATATATTCTTATACAAATGTATCTACATTCTAAATAAAAGAAAGGTATTGTGCGAAATCTAAAAAGATTCTTTGTACTAATACACGAAAAGAATCTCTTAGGGTTTAGTACGAAACTTACCCTATCAAACTTATTCAGAGAAATGTCTGAAGAAGCAGCATCTCGAAATTAATCTTCTCTCATCTCTCTTCAGGTTCTATCGATTTGATTTTCTTCAATTGTAATTCAATAAATAAATCAATTTTCTATCATTTTATTGTTGAGATTGCATAAGGAAAATTATCTGTTAGAATTTTTCAATTGTATATAGAAATAACATATTTTATATTACAGTTTCAAGCAAGTGCAACAAGTTCATCATCACAACAAGTATCAAGCAACATTAAACTTCAACAAAAGGAAACACAAAATAGTAATTGGCAAGAAAAATATTTTCTTCATGGAGAATCATCAAATATAGTCACAGATGTTGAGAATCAAATTCATGGTTGTGTTAATTCATCTGTTTCAGAAGATATTGATACATATATATCCAATCTTGATGATATTAATATAACAGCTGATGAAATTCTTCGAGAACGTTTAACACAGATTTCATCTATGGAAAAAACAATTATTCGTCGAATTGTTCAAGAACGACAAGATATTATTAATAGAATTATAATAAAAGGTCATTCAAATATGAATCAATATGAAGAATATTATCGAAAAATAATAGAAGAATTTATTAAAAAGTTAGAAATCGAAATGTCAATACATTTAGATGATTTACAAAAACAAATGGAAAATGAAAAAGATATTGTTTTTGCAACTTCACATAATAATATTAAAGATATAACAATAAAAGCACAAAATGCTAAAAAAGATTTTCTTAGAATTATTCAATCATTTGCTGAAATAAAACGTCAAGAAGTAATAAAGAAAATTATTAATATTTCTATAGATAAAACACGTCAACCACTTGGTTATGAACAATTAAGAACACTTAATCTACAAATATATTCTACGGTTGGAATTAAAGAAGATGAACATGGTTGTGATAATATATCGGAAAGAAATAAATTTATTAAAGATATTAATCATGCTAAATCACATCAACCAATTAAAAGAACTGTTTATTTTGGAAGTAATTTTAATTCAACACTCAAATAGGAACAATCAATTTATACAAATACTTAAATTATATTTTCATTATTTAAAATCTTTTTGTTTTATTTGAGAAAAATATCTTTTACATATAATTATTTCTCACTTTTATTCAGGGATCGAAATAAACAAACACTAATTCATGACATATACTGAAAATTTTCCTTCAATATCAGATAAAATAAAATGATCAATAACCTACGATGCAGAAGTAATTGCGGAAATGTCAAGACATTGTTCTTCGCTTAGGAACATCGTAGAAAGTTAAATTTTTTTTTTATTAGAAAGAGCAACATCTGAACTACAAAGTTTGTACCAGCCATATTTTTCCGAAAGGTATATGAGAAGAGATCAAAGTTCAAAACCAAACACCTCTAAAAAAGTCCTTGCAACTTTCTTGAAGCTTGGAAAATGTGGATTTCTAGACGATTTGTTTTGCAGTATTCGCTCGGAATATATCGAATTTGAGGATTTTAACAGAAAAGAACAGTTCAATAAGTATTTTCTACCGCCATAACATGGACAGATAATGAGAACAACCAAATTATTCAGTCTCTTCCAGAAGAAGCAATGTATTCTTCTTAAAACCAGAAGCAAATTTAACATTTAATATACGATTGGAAAGAGCTCCTCTTATGCTACAAAAATTACCATTAAAAGTATTTTTTCATCTTTTTCTGGTATTAAAAAAATTAATAGAAATTAAAAGAATGACGTTGCTCTCTGACCAAGTTGCAAGGACTTTTTAGAGGTGTTTGGTTTTGGACTTTTATCTCTTCTCATATACCTTCCAGAAAAATATGGCTGGTACAAAATTTGTAGTTCAGATGTTGCTCTTTCTAATCAAAAAAAAAGTTTAATTTTCTACGATGTTCCTAAGCAAAGAACAATGTTTCGACATTTCCGCAATTACTTTTGCATCGCAGGTAAACAACAAATTAGAAAAAGTTAATTAGATTATATGATCCTTTTCTTTTTCTTTGTTGACTTTTTTAGATAATCCTCAATGCTAAACTGACTTCTTAATTCATCTATCTGCATTGAAAAATGCACGAATTATATAGAAGAGAAGTATAGGCCAGTTGTACTACGATTCCATATCATTAAAATCGAATAAAAATACGGGTGAAAGTGAATGCAGAACTCTATGATGAATTGAGTAGCTCTAGATATCTTCGTATGATTATAATTACTAATGCAAAATGTTACCTGTTGAGATCGATTATTTAATGATCTGCTACAACCAATACCCCGAAATAGTGGTCCAGAGATAAATGGTTCGGGGTGAATTACAATTGAAACTAAGCCCATAACATTGCTATGATCTACTAAATTTTTATTTAAAATTTCCCATTTGTTTTCGTTTGCATCTATTCGATTTGTTATGATAAATTGAAATTCTTAGTTTAATCTTTGTAATAAGGATTCATTATTGTTTACAAAAAATTCGTTGATACATAAGCACATTCTTTCAGATATCTAATTTGTTTTAGATGAAACCATCTTTAATTTAAATACACAAATGAATATCAAAACGATGACATCACTGAAAATCATCAAAAATTCACTGAGCTGATCTTCAGCTAAAGGAATTCGGTTATTGGCTCACTACAATTTATTTTATCAAGATATCTTAAACAAAAAATTGATTACAGCTTCATTCGAATGAATAATAAGAGAATAGTACTGGTATTTGTTGTCTGAAATATTGTACTTATTGTTCCAACTGTGGTGTTATTTAATTCTGGAGTAAATAGAGTAAAAAAAAAGCCAATGAATATCAAAAGATGCATGAGTTGCACATTTTGATTGTTTGTTTGTGATACGAAAATGATTTTCATAATTATTCAGAAAACAGCTAGCTATCTTGTTCAAGATCACCGAGCATCGTCATTCAGCATCATCAGAACTGCACTTTATTTGTAGAAAAAATTAATATTGGATATCTCTTTAAGGTTAAAAAAAAGCAAATATGAACAGAAATGAATTGTTATTTTAGTCGATATCGAATAGGTATGCCCTTCTCGGGAGATGATATACCAAATCCATAACCAGTCTTGAGCATTGCAGGTATTTTTAGGCTTTCAAAATGATCAAAAAAATCGATATGAAATTGTTTGATCAATGCCACAATTGTCAATTTAAGAATATTTTTTGCAATATAACGTCCAGAACAAATAAACTTTCCTTCATCAAATGGCGCATGAACTCGTCGAGCAGTAGCACTGATTTCGTTTGGACTACCTACAACAAAGCGATCATGAATAAATTCATGAGGATGAGGAAATATTCTTCGTCGATTTGTGAAACAAATGGACACAGGACAATGATATCATTCTCTGCAAGTAAAATTTTATGGTCAATACCGATTATCTGAAGTTTTGTATTTTGTGTACATTCACGTACTACAAGTGCATTTCCCGTGAGATGCATTGTTTCTTCGATAACACTATCCAATTGAGGCATTGAATATATAAGATCATCTTCTTTTGTTTCAGAAGACACATTTTCTATTTCACGAAGTATTATATCGACAACTTTTGGATAATATCGAAGGTAAAAATAGGTCCAGAAAATAGATGGAACAACATTTCCATAAGATGCTCACAATGTGGCTGTCTTCATATGTCCTATATCTTCTTTTGGTATTCCATTGGCCAAATCATTTAGTCTACTAGTAAAAACATGTTCCATGTCGTTAACATCCACTGGTGACAATCGTTTAGCGATTTTATTCTTTGATCGTATCAAATTTAGCTTAAACCAACGACATGGAGATGGATAAGCAAGAAGATGAACAGCAGTACCAAAAATTTTCAACTCATTAACAATTGATCGAGCATCAACACCTTCTTCATAAAACGCAGTTGTGATTGATTCATAAACAAGTGTTAAACATAAATCATAAAGACCAGTTTCTGTCCATTCAGACATTCACGAATGGTTTTTTGAAGATTGATAGAATGTTTACTTGTCATATTGGGTGTGAGTGTGGGTGGGGTACGGGTGTGTGGGTGTGGGTGGGATGCGAGTGTCAGTCTGAATGCAGAGAAGACTCATTGCCGCACCTACACCCATACCCATATCCCATACCCACACTACACCAGCCACATCCACGCCATCCACACCCACTCACACCCACACCCACCCCACACCCACACCCCACACCCATACACCCACCCACACTCACAACCACACCCACATCGTGGGTGGATGTGAGGATGGATGTGAATCGACCTCTTCTTATCATAGATACACCCACACCGTTAGTGTTGCGATTTGCTTATAAGGTTGAATTAAACCAACAAACATAAATTTAACTTTATAAGTCAGTTGAAGAATAACTTTAATCGATCAAAACTATCTTCACTTCTAACATTAGAAAAAATTCCATAATCAAGGATTCACATTGCTAAGTCTTTTATTCCTAATTCTAGTGTATCGATTTCGTCTCGAAATTCTTTAATAAAATATTAAAAAACTTATAGAGCATGTCGATGTTTTTCCACTGTTTTCATACATGTTTGTTTCAATCGATTAGATAGCTAAAAT